GCCTTACCTCCTTGTCGTAAAGTCTGAAGTCGTAAGCCTTACCTCCTTGTCGTAAAGTCTGAAGTCGTAAGCCTCACTTCCCTTGTCGTAAAGTCTGAATGCCTCCTTCATCTCATCATGCATGGCGTCGTCGTCATCGCTCTCCATGACTGGCAAGACGATCGCTATGAACTGATCGAAGTTCGCTTCGCCTTCCTCTGCAATATTGCAATATTTATTGTCTCACATTTATTATTTAATTATAAGTTGATAAAATAATATTTTTGCTATCTGCAATATTGCGCTATTATTCATCTAACATATTTGTTTTAACTTTTCGTTTGTCGAATAATAGTATTGCTAAAACAATTATTTAATAAGTGAGTGCTAACTAACTATCATGTCCCGTATTGAGGTAAATATTACGTTAAATGTGAAACAAATATTGAGTTAAGTGTTTCAAATTAATTCATCTATTATCCGATATAAAACAATTTTACCGTCATTTGATAACGCAGGAGAAATCGTTAAGTCGGTTGTCTTTTCATAAATTATTATAGTATATATAGTAAAATACATATATAGTACATATATATAGTACAATATATATAGTATATATATAGTACAATAGATAGTTATTGTGTATGCCTACGACGTGTTCACTTATGATGTCAGTGACGTTGCGCAGATTTGTGTCGTTAACATTAATTAGTGCGGCCCGTCATGTTCCACGTACCTACGGCATTTCTAGAAAAATGCGCCAATGAAGTTTTTTATACCTGCGGAATTGCGCTCTGTGGCATTTATAATTATTTTTCTTTGAGTGTGAATTCAAAACTTATTTCACGATAGAATATCGCCGCAAAAATTTAAATAAAGTCGATATATTTCCTTTAATTATATAAATCACTTGAGAATTTTATTTGCTAAAACACACGTAGTATAAATAAGTTGAATCTCGTTGAGCCTATTTCACTAACCAAGACCAGATATGTGGGCTTTAGTTCAACTTCTTTGAATCATCAGTCAATCAAAAGTTATTTCTGATGTATTCTGGAGACCATGTCATTGTATAAATTTTACGAGTCAGTATGCTCGATGAAATGAAAGTTATTTTGGCGAAGTTGATATCAACTGAGAACAGTAGATAAGGTAAAAGCCAAATAACATGTTAATAGATAATACTAATATTATGAGATGAATGGTAAAATATAGTAACATGAATCGCTCAATTCAAGTTACTATATTTTACTCTTATTTAGACCTCACTTGCCACCCATAATTAACCGGCCCCACCCATTGTAAGGAGGGGACGGTTTCATATGAATTGCATTGGCCGAAAACTTTCAACGATTTAAATTTTTCTTATGATTTACGAGGCTCTTGAGTTGGAAAATTTAAAACCTAATTGAAATAATTTAAGGAAGCTTCAAGAGTAAGTCATTTGAATATTAAGTCAGAATGTAGTTGTCGAAGCTGTAGTTTGTGAGGACTGTGATTTTCCAATCATGGAATCATTTTGTGATGCTTAACAGTCATATGGCGAACTGTTCTGGCACTTGGTCGTTATTCTTCTTAGAGTCCGGAATCTTTGAAGGAACTGTTACGGGAGCTGCAACATAAAATCTAGCTAGTCTTCTGTTAACCGCGTAAATGGTTACCTCATCAAAGCCGGTCGCGGCAATTGTAAGACAGTAAGCAATGAAAACTTTTTTTAAATGGCGATTTGGTTAAATGAAAGGGCAGTCGTCCCCCGTCCCCTATAGAGATAATGAAAAAACAATCTTAGAAAATTGGTAGAAAAATAATGGGTGAATCCATGAATAATTAAAGCTCAATAGAATATTTTCCTCCTACAAATATTTCAGTCGATTTCAAGAAATGAGGCCAAAAAATTTGACGTTTCAGGCACCCTATTCAGCGAATTATAAGCTTATCCTCCCAAAATTTTGTTAGTAGCCAACTTTACGATAATAAGGTAACTTACAGTCATAAATGACGGACGAATAATTCACAACGCTGAATATTAGTCTAGGAGCTCCCGGGCTACGCGTCACCTGGGAACTATGGACACTATTTCAATGTTGCCATCTATGAGCTCGGAAAGAACTAAAGGCTTGTAAATGAAAATACCAACCACTACAGGACCGATAACAAGAGGACCATTTGAAAAAAAACTACTCAGACGACACGCATTACAGACTATCATGATGCCGGTTATTGTTTATGTTTGCGTTTTTTACATATCAAAATTTTTGAAGACCCTTTGTGACACTTAAAATTTCGCTGTTATGGTTGGTTCTTTCTCAAAACAATTTTATTACTTCCATAATTATTAGAAATTCGTGGAGAGTTGACATATTACGAATAAATTTGATTTCAGAAAGCGTATCATAGGAGGTGGAAAAATTCTACACATAGCGACGGAACATTAAAGTAATATTCGAAATACTTATGTTAAAACTGGATGGGTTTCCATCGTGCCTCGTGTTTAATAACATAATTCTTTTCGTGAAGAATAGATATTCTAACTCTGTTAATGGTGTAGATAATAGGAAAATATTTGTAGGACTTTCCCCTATTTCGGGAGCTCGTCTGAAATAATGTCTTGAAAATTGGAAATATTATTTGCTATAACATTATTATGATGTTAACTTGCACTTTTCAGTTGTGAATAATTTCAAGATTGATTCCTTCTTCAACTTAAAAGGATCTTATTCCTGCCTCCATGCGGTCTAACCTGGTTGACTAATTGTTGTGCACGCTGCGCATCAGCGGACGTCGGACTGACGTCACGTAACTTCCACATCCGGTACCAGGGCCTATACTTTCAAAAAAAGTTAAGAGATCGTAAGTTCATCAGCCAATCATTGACGGCCTTTCAAGCAAAATCCACGAACCATAGATAAGAAAATAGAGCGTAGGTACTTACGTTCACTTAGCGAGTTTTGAAAGTATAGTCCCATGCAGCTGAACACCGCGGCAGGAGTTTTCGTTCGAACCTGCCACTTTCCAGGTTTTGTAACTATGCTGTGCGCCTTCGCGCTAAACAGTGCGACGTAACTGTGTCTGAAAGTGATTTATAGAAACTCGGTTCCTCTTCTGAGCTTGGGGTTTAAGGATTTTGGAATCACTGCACATTTTTAAACGGAAACCTTGACATAGTAACGCGCGCAGTTCTCATCCTCCGGAAATTGCAAACAGGTATTTGTTTCGGTTATCATTTTCACGTTATCGAGTTTTTTCTCTCAGATTTTACTTGTATTCTATAAATTTTTGATTTGATTATGGAGGTGGCCTACGAAATGTTTTTAGTGAAGTTATTGTGAATTTGCTTAGCGTTTTTCTTATTTCTTAGTTCATTTGCAATTTAATCGGATCAATAATATAACTACAGGGTGACACAAAAAAAACAGAGCTCACTAAAAGTCTTATAACTCCTGAAATTTTATTCAGTTTGAAACAAAAATTCTATGGAATTATGTACAACCTATGTAGCCAACATCTGCAAAATCTCAATTCTATACCACAAAAACTCTTTGTTCTACAGCCGCTCATAACTGCAAATGTCTTTTGCTCTGTAGTCCAAGGCATCTCGAAGCTCACACGTGGTAGACTCTTAGATCAATCCGTCTTCTTAATGAATCTGAAACAAATAACAGGATTACTTGAGTATTGTGGAAATTATTCAACTTTTTATGAGCTCTGTTTTTTTTGTGTCACCCTGTACTAAAAATCATCTTACATTTGGATGCTTAAGGTAATTTTTTTTCAACTCGATTAACCAATTAACCAACCTGGAATATTTTTAGGAAAAGCGCTCTTTCCTGTCAAGGGCTTTTCTTACGTTAAACATATAGTAGAACACGGTTTGAAACAGAGGCAGAATAGAACGAAATGCAAAATATATTTAATCTATATGCTTCAACACCATTAAATGACACTTTACCTAAACTGATTATACCCGGTCATTTGCATCCTGTATGCAAGCAACTGGCCCTTCCCAGTCTCCAGAATCGGTAAAATATGCCTTCGGAGAAATCGTGACCATGAAAATCTTTGTCCACAGTAAGTTTCGAAATTGTGCATTACACTCAGAAAAATGAGTGAGACTTCGCATAGCAATGCTCTTTTTGCGTTTGTGTGAGTCATCTTGACCCAGCTCGGCCCGAAAAAAATGAAAGTATCACTTCTACGTATATACGTCCTGTACATTTAGTTACATTGCCTGCCCAGTCGAGTTTCTTGTTCCATTAGGAGCCGCCCCAAAGGACAGACAGTCGGCTTAAAGGTGACTCGGCGCCTATCGTCCGCCTAACTGTAATCAGCGGCTATATAGGAGCCGATTTGGGGAGTCGATTGCTCGATAGGCCGAATATACGTAATTAGACCGAAAAAAAGCAGCTGGCCAAGCTTCTGTGGTCAGACGCTGTTATTTGAGCGAACCATGACCATCTCCCGCTCATCATATGGCATCGATGCATGTACACGCGTACGCTTGTCAAAGCATACGATGGAACGATATGATAATTGATTATACCAATTTTTAAGCTTGCGTGTTGTAAGATAATAATTTCATTAATTATAGGACAAAAATATCTGGATTTATTTTTGGATCTTTAAAAACCACAGGAAGCTTGAAGGCATGGAAATATGATTAAGGGGTGCAAGAGCAAAAAAATACTTTATGAAAACGTGGCAGTAAAAAAAGAAGTAATGCTTGTAGCTCCAATTGATAAATTTAAAATTATTATAATAACACATATTACTAATATGTAAGTTGTTAATTGGCAGAAAAAGCAATAGTGTTAGAAATTTCCACATTCCTTAGGATACAAATTTGTTCTTTTTCTTCATACCTTTTGTTGGGTATGAATTTGTAAATAGTAAGAGTTGGCTGTAAGACTTGGTGGTGAAAATATCACATTAATGTTGCTCCGTTAGGAGTGATTAAAGCCATTCCTTCCTAATTGCTATTTATTATTTTGAGTGATCACTCTTTGTTTTTCGTTTTATTTATTTTCGTTTATTATGCATGTGCGTGCTTTCTTTGATTAGGATAGGACCGACTCCAGTGTTGAATTTGGGATTTGCCTTTTCTTGTGGTATGACCACTTTAACTTTTGAGCTTCGGCTTTTTACTTAAGATAAATATTTGTTCCTAATCTTTTGGGAAGGCTTAATGCTTTCCTAAGCTCAACTTGCTAGTTAATTATTGGAGTCTGTCCTCCCTTTCTACTGTCATAATTTCCCTTTACATGGCCTATTTACATGCCTCTTAAAAGTTGCAGCTTAACCGCTTGGTGGCTAAAGATTTTAAGGTGGGTCCGTCGCTGTTATAGTGACATATTCCGTCTTACATTTATGTTCATAAAACTTATGATTTGATTACCAACTATCTAACGGCTATTTATTCTTTCTATTCGATAGAATAACTGCGTATCCGATGGGGAACAACATTCTTTCTATTTTGGGCGACTTTCAGCGTCACTGTTTGCGATAGAAAGAGCCTTTCGTACATCACGGTGTGTAAAACTTGTAATGATTTGCTTATATGAATGTATTAGATTGAAACTCATTGCGACACTGGAATACTACTACTGGATTGCAGAATTGTAAAATATTTCTTGCTTCTACAGTTATGTTGGGCCGGGTTTATTCGTCGGCACAACGGCGATAAACTGTATTGGAACCGCTGCCAAGCGTCACTTTTCGCGACTTGGTTCAATTCTAGATTTTTGTGAATACGTCTGCTTTCTCAAGATTTGGACCAGTCATCTCTGAAATAAAAGTTCCATTTTGTTTACTGTTTTTTTGTATCAAGCCTAACAATAGATGAATATTCGGTTATTCAGGGCTTACTAATTTTTTTTCAAATGTTTAGGTCACGATGATATTGACATGAAAGTGCTTGATATTGTAATGACAGTGTTTTGCCTGATGACAGGCAGTGAGGAATGTACCCTTTGTTATTCAAACAAGGTCTACAAAATTTCAATACTCTCAGGTGAGGTTCACAATTGTATCATATTGTGGTGCGGTTCACATAATTCCTTCTGTGATTTATGATCGTTTTATTCAATGGCGTTTGTGCATGCTGGGTATGACTCATCGCGACGTAAGTGTCATGGCACCTCGCACTTTTTGAGCAAATTAATTAATACAAACTATATTCCGTGGTTCAAACGACATCGATGACAGAACTTAGTCCATATACTTTACTGTTTTTATTACATATAATTATTTAATTCTGTTCGCTCCGCAAAATTTGTTGCTCGACAAGTAAAATATTTAGCCCCCACCCATTATACTCCCTATTAGTTAGGGGTTGCCACTACCCCGCTTTAGGGCTATGCGGGGAGAACAAGCAGACGCCGAGACTACTGGCAGGTGGCGGCAGTTGAATAGTTGCGCTAGTCTTGTTCACGCGTAAAGTGACACACTCTACTCATTTCAGTTGTGTAATCGTACAGTGGAAAGTGAAATTTACGACTCGAAAATAATTTGTTTTAAAGGATAGACATGTTAATTCTGAACATTTTTAAAAGCACAACTTTTTTACTTTCACTGTCCGGGGATTCTTTGAGGCGTTTGAGCAATATCCGTTGGAAAACCCTGGCCCCGGCACCGGTATGGCGGCATTCAAATTTTCAACTTGGGGTATGTCTACATGAGCTTGTTTTTGGAGCTGCTCATGTTTACATGCCTTAGGTTCTAATTTCTATTTTACCATAATAGATGAATCGAATTGTGGAACCGAAAGTTTAGAATTACCGGCAGTCGACACTCGACAGCGTGATTAGCACCAAGCCGCTGCAAGCAAAACGAGTACGAACAAGGATGCAGAGCGTTGTAAGTAACTAAGCTATTATTTTTCTATGATTATCATTTATGTAATTCTTTCTATCACATCATCAGGTAATTTGTGGGAGTGAAATCGAATTGTCCTTATGAATTGGGTTATTTTCGAAGAATTAAAAAGTATTTCAGGATAAATTTTGGAAATTGCCATATAGAACATGGCAATGTGAATGTTGGAAAGGAAATAAATTCCAACTGCAATATCGATGGTAGAAATAGTTCTATTCGTCTTTACAGCCGCTGTAGGCAGAATTTTATTAACCCGTTCAAAACAGTTAGCTGAACGGAACTTACTAGTGACATATCGTGAAATGATAAGTCGTTAACAAATTACACTTGATGTTAGGTACGCGTGCATGCAAAAGGAAGAAAGAAAGCGCACAGGTCTCGCCTTGAATTGCATTACTGCGAACAATTCAATATATTATAGGCATTTCATACAAAGAAACACTAGTGTGAAATTATTAGGTACTATATTGAATGTGCGCGATGTAGAAATGGTTGAAGTTGAGCCCTGTAGATGCACTAGGCTGTTTGCAAAAATTTCGGGAGAACTTTGAGGACTGATTTAAGTTATTATTGCCGGAGAATGCTTAGCAATAAATTTGAATGTTGTGTGATGGCGAATATGAGAGAATTTATAAAACTAGATAAGGTGAGAGAATGTTTTACACTGCCATACGTGGAAAATATTGGGTACCAGAAATTAGTATGAGTGTTTGGTACGGGTGAATGGGATTGAATGTTCCGTACATGGATGATGTGGTATAATGTTGAGCGGTGTTGAATATTGGAGAATGTTTCCAATTCGTTTCTCAAACAATACACGAAGTGTCGTATTGCAATTAGCAATTATTTGTCAATTTTTAAACTTTTTGTCGACCCGAAATATAAATTATTCTCTTATATTATTATATTATATATTGATTATATATTAATATCCTTCTTCTATTTCTATTGTTAAAAGTTAATTTTGGGAAAATATGTATGAATATCTTACAAACTGCATCTTTTCGACTCGCTACAATACTATAAAAAATTCAGTAATCTAAGTCTTAGTATTGAAAATAACTGAAAATTGTAGACATGATCGAATTTTCCAGGATATATCAACAATTGCAGGTTTATTAAAATTCTATCCTATTGTTTACTAGCTAATATATATAATAATTAAAGCGTTGTCATCTGACAGTCGTGGAGGTGAACAATGTTTACCCGCGGTCACGCCTGCGCGCGGCCACTCACATCACTGAACTTTATGTAGTACTATTTATGTAGTATTATATATGTAGTATTGTGTATTATATTTAGGATTATATATGTAGTATTGTGTATTATATATAGGATTATATATGTAGTATTGTGTATTATATTTAGTATTATATGTGTAGTATTCTGTATTGTGTAAATCTGTGAAGTATTCAGGCGTCGTTACCGAAAACTGGGCAAATTCAATGTTCTTAATGTTGAAGTAATTATTTCTCAATTCTCGTCCAAATTAATAAGTAAAAAATAAATTGCACTCCCTGGCTCTCGTAGAACATGACACCCATATTTTACCAGGTGAAGATTCCATCCGAGCGGTGTCATTTTCTCAGATTTAATTTACTTGATGAGTATCAACACGAGATATTGCCGTCTCAAGGTTTACGTTTTCGGAGCTCCAAGCATTTCGAATTTTTCCTGCAACAAAATGCTCTGAATTATGCTAAAATGCCTTAAGTACAGCAGAAGATTCTAAACAATTTTTACGTAGATGATTCACTGATATGGAAGTGTTGTTGAATCCGCGAAACTTGCTAGCCGATGTTAAATCTACATTGTCTATTGGTTTGGTGGATTTGATCTGACGAGTCTACACGAATTTCTATCACCGCCTGGAGTTCCATCCGCCTGGAGTCTCCACGAATTTCCATCACTGGAGTTACATCCTCGTGGATTTTACATGAAATTCCATCACGTGCACCACACTGGAACACTTGACATACAAAGTGTCGTTTAAAATCTTGGTAAGGAAATAAATTATGATGGCTTCAGTTGAATTCATGAGTCATAGCACCTGATCCTTTATAACGTCTGCAGGTACATGTTTTATTCTCTAACATCCATCTTACGTTATCAATATAGAAAAAGTTGAATTAAACTTTAAAGAATAATGCTGCGAATTTCCACCAATTCTACATTTTCGTTATTAACTCAACGTTCCATTGAGATAAGAAAACATTGAGTACCAGGAAACGGAGTATGATTTATTTAAAGTTTGAATGAAAGCGTTTTATAAGCTGCTCATTCATTCATAGCCGGCCTTGCAAATACAACTTGCAGGCAAAAATCAAAATTGCAGAACATGAGCAAACTAATATATCGTGGATCAGCAGAGTTAATGTATAAAAAATCGATGTATAACTTTATTTGGCTTGGCCAGAGGAGGGAGTAAAACAGGTCCAGTTTTCGGGGGTTTTACTTTCGTTTAATTCTCACACACAGTGGATCTGAAAATGAGGATGATTCAAAGGAATCAAACATATAACTAAATAAAGTGATTTGATATGACATTTTTTCAAGTAAGATCAATAAAATAATTTGTCACATTAAGAACGACTAGAAAATTGATTACAAAATCTGTGCTGGGCCCTATATTCATGAACCCTGAATGTGAAATTTATTCCCGACCAATTTCTTATCCCCAATTTTTCCTCCCTCTAAGCGTGCAAGTTTTATTGAAAAATCGAGTGTAATCTACATGTTATAAAGACATAAGATGAAGTTAATTTGATGTTTTGAAGTCAAAATTGAAAACGTGAAAGAGGGATGACACAAACGTCGTCACAAAAATGTCGCTTGTGCCGGGCTGATGAATAATCTCCTTGTTAGACGTGGCGGTTATTTGAATGGTTCTAGAGTGTTGTTATTAGGTTTATGAGGAAAAAATATATTAAGTGAACTTAATAATAAAGACAGGATCTATACAAAAAAAGTACTTATATTTATAAATAATAAAAAATTTATCTAAAGTCACTCCATCGATGACGGCTAAGACAATCCTATTTAAAGTAATTATCCCTAACTTCCCAACTCAAAGCAGTCAATTTTTACTCTTGCTACGCTTAGTCGGCCTGGATCCATTTATATCGTATTCCCTTCGAAATTCGACGACTTTGAGCAAAATATTTTTATATTTCTATCCAAGTAACTGAGGAAGGCGCCTTGCGATTTCCAATTCGATGCGCATGCAAGCACATTGTTTAACGAGAGCGCGAACGCTCTGAATCCTGAGTCCGTGTACAGACTGCGTATTGAACTAGCGTAATAATATGATAACTATGCACTGCCTTAGAGATGAGAGAGAGAGTTTTCAACTTTACTACTACACTTCAGACAGTAAATCTAGAGCATTTAATCCTGCGAATGACTTTAAAATAAGAGATAATGCTTATACTCACTTACATTACTGACTCTGGGAATAATTGCACGATATATATTGTTTAAAGAAACCCCATCTGTACGGGTAACTCATACGTAGGCTAGTGATACCGATAACTTGATCCTGCATGAATGGCTCCATTTATCGCGTCGTTACTATTCTGTTTCAGACAATCGTCTGAATGTCAACACGTCATTAAATGTCAACTATGCAATCTTTATATCAACAGAAGTCTCCAGTTCACGAGTGCCAGGAACCTGTATTTATCGGCATGCTTTTTTTGGTGTTACTCACTCGCACCAACCTGTAGAACAAGTTCTCGTTTAAGGAAAAGGAACAACGTTTATCAAACGTTGTAACTACGTTGGATAAACGTTGCAACGACGTTGAATAAACGTTGTTACAACGTTTAATAAACCTTATAACTACGTTTAATAAACGTTGTAACAACGTCCGAGGACTATTTCGTGATCTAATTTAAAGGTGCAATCCACAAATTGAAGATTACGATGCGTGAAA